TTGGCCATGGGGTAAACAAGATGTAGAGTTTTCGCTGAATCTTTAGCGTTTTTTTGTCCAAACAGTGTAAAAAAAAATATATATATATACAGTGGGGAGAACAAGTATTTGATACACTGCCGATTTTGCAGTTTTCCTACTTACAAAGCATGTAGAGGTCTGTAATTTTTATCATAGGTACACTTCAACTGTGAGAGACGGAATCTAAAACCTAAATCCAGAAAATCACATTGTATGATTTTTAAGTAATTAATTTGCATTTTATTGCATGACATAAGTATTTGATACATCAGAAAAGCAGAACTTAATATTTGGTACAGAAACCTTTGTTTGCAATTACAGAGATCATATGTTTCGTGTAGGTCTTGAACAGGATTGCACACACTTCAGCAGGGATTTTGGCCCACTCCTCCATACAGACCTTCTCATATCCTTCAGGTTTCGGGGCTGTCGCTGGGCAATACGGACTTTCAGCTCCCTCCAAAGATTTTCTATTGGGTTCAGGTCTGGAGACTGGCTAGGCCACTCATGGACCTTGAGATGCTTCTTACGGAGCCACTCCTTAGTTGCCCTGGTTGTGTGTTTCGGGTCGTTGTCATGCTGGAAGACCCAGCCACAACCCATCTTCAATGCTCTTACTGAGGGAAGGAGGTTGTTGTCCAAGATCTCGCGATACATGGCCCCATCCATCCTCCCCTCAATACGGTGCAGTCGTCCTGTCCCCTTTGCAGAAAAGCATCCCCAAAGAATGATGTTTCCACCTCCATGCTTCACGGTTGGGATGGTGTTCTTGGGGTTGTACTCATCCTTCTTCTTCCTCCAAACACGGCGAGTGGAGTTTAGACCAAAAAGCTCTATTTTTGTCTCATCAGACCACATGACCTTCTCCCATTCCTCCTCTGGATCATCCAGATGGTCATTGGCAAACTTCAGACGGGCCTGGACATGCGCTGGCTTGAGCAGGGGGACCTTGCTTGCACTGCAGGATTTTAATCCACGACGGCGTAGTGTGTTACTAATGGTTTTCTTTGAGACTGTGGTCCCAGCTCTCTTCGGGTCATTGACCAGGTCCTGCCGTGTAGTTCTGGGCTGATCCCTCAACTTCCTCATGATCATTGATGCCCCACGAGGTGAGATCTTGCATGGAGCCCCAGACCGAGGGTGATTGACCGTCATCTTGAACTTCTTCCATTTTCGAATAATTGCGGCAACAGTTGTTGCCTTCTCACCAAGCTGCTTGCCTATTGTCCTGTAGCCCATCCCAGCCTTGTGCAGGTCTACAATTTTATCCCTGATGTCCTTACACATCTCTCTGGTCTTGGCCATTGTGGAGAGGTTGGAGTCTGTTTGATTGAGTGTGTGGACAGGTGTCTTTTATAAAGGTAATGAGTTCAAACAGGTGCAGTTAATACAGGTAATGAGTGGAGAACAGGAGGGTTTCTTAAAGAAAAACGAACAGATCTGTGAGAGCCGGAATTCTTACTGGTTGGTAGGTGATCAAATACTTATGTCATGCAATATAATGCAAATTAATTACTTAATCATACAATGTGATTTTCTGGATTTTTGTTTTAGATTCTGTCTCTCACAGTAGAAGTGTACCTATGATAAATATTACAGAACTCTACATGCTTTGTAAGTAGGAAAACCTGCAAAATCGGCAGTGTATCAAATACTTCTTCTCCCCACTGTATATATACTACCGGTCAAAAGTTTTTTGAACACCTACTCATTCAAGGTTTTTTTCTTTATTTTTTGCTATTTTTTACATTTTAGAATAATAGTGAAGACATCAAAACTATGAAGTAACACATATGGAATCATGTAGTAACCAAAAAAGTGTTAAACAAATCAAAATATATTTTATATTTGAGATTCTTCAAATAGCCACCCTTTGCCTTGATGACAGCTTTGCACTCTCTTGGCATTCTCTCAACCAGCTTCATGAGGTAGTCACCTGGAATGCATTTCAATTAACAGGTGTGCCTTGTTAAAAGTTAATTTGTGGAATTTCTTTCCTTCTTAAGGCATTTGAGCCAATCAGTTGTGTTGTGACAAGGTAGGGGGGGGTATACAGAAGAAATACCTATTTGGTAAACAACACGTCCTTATCTCGTCAGGGGAGTTGTGCTTCATAGCTGTAGTGTAGCTTATACAGTCCCCAAGGTAGGGGAGGATCTTAGATCAAGGCTGTTGCTTGTAGTTTTACCTGATATTTTGTCAGATGATTTGTCAGAATGCAGATACATACATTGCATTTCGGAAAGTATTCAGACCCCTTGACTTTTTCCACATTTTGTTACGTTACAGCCTTATTCCAAAATGGATTCAATAGTTTTTTCCCCTCATCAATCTACAAACAATACCCCATAATGACAAAGCAAAAACAGGTTTGTAGAAATTTTGGCACATTTATTATAAATAAAAACTGAAATATTACATTTACATAAGTATTCATACTCAGTACTTTGTTGAAGTGCCTTTGGCAGTGATTACAGCCTCAAGTCTTCTTGGGTATGACGCTACAAGCTTGGCACACCTGTATTTAGGGAGTTTCTCCCATTCTTCTCTGCAGATCCTCTCAAGCTCTGTCAGGTTAGATGGGGAGCGTCGCTGCACAGCTATTTTCAGGTCTCTCCTGAGATGTTAGATCGGGTTCAAGTCCGGGCTCTGGCTTGGCCACTCGAAGACATTCAGAGACTTGTCCCGAAGCCACTCCTGCGTTGTCTCAGCTGTGTGCTTAGGGTCGTTGTCTTGTTGGAAGGTGAACCTTCGCCCCAGTCTGAGGTCCTGAGCGCTCTGGAGCAGGTTTTCATCAAGGATCTCTCTCTGTACTTTGTTCCGTTCATCTTTCCCTCGATCCTGACTAGTCTCCTATTCCCTGCCACTGAAAAACATCCCCACAGCAGGATACTGCCACCACCGTGCTTCACCGTAGGGATGGTGCCAGCTTTCCTCCAGACATGACGCTTGGCATTCAGGCCAAAGAGTTCAATCTTGGTTTCATCAGACCAGAGAATCTTGTTTCTCATGGTCTGAGAGTCCTTTAGGTGCCTTTTGGCAAACTCCAAGCGGACTGTCATGTGCCTTTTACTGAGGAGTGGCTTCCGTCTGGCCACTCTACCATAAAGGCCTGATTGGTGGAGTGCTGCAGAGATGGTTGTCCTTCTGGAAGGTTCTCCCACAGAGGAACTCTGGAGCTCTATCAGAGTGACCACATCGGGTTCTTGGTCACTTCCCTGACCAAGGCCCTTCTCTCCCGATTGCTCAGTTTGGCCCTTGGTTGAATCCTTCTTCCCCCAGCAGTCATTGGTTGAATCCTTCTTTTCCCAGCAGTCATTGGTTGAATCCTTCTTCCCACAGCAGTCATTGGTTGAATCCTTCCTCCCCAGCAGTCATTGGTTGAATCCTTCTTCCCCCAGCAGTCATTGGTTGAATCCTTCCTCAACCAGCAGTCATTGGTTGAATCCTTCCTCCCCCAGCAGTCATTGGTTGAATCCTTCTTCCTCCAGCAGTCATTGGTTGAATCCTTCTTCCCCCAGCAGTCATTGGTTGAATCCTTCTTCTCCCAGCAGTGATTGGTTGAATCCTTCTTCTCCCAGCAGTCATTGGTTGAATCCTTCTTCCTCCAGCAGTCATTGGTTGATTTTCTCTTCCCCCAGCAGTCATTGGTTGATTACCTCTTCCCCCGGCAGTCATTGGTTGAGAGGCCATGCAGGGGCAGGAAGCTGGGCAATACTTTAACGATGATGTGTGATTGGTTCATAATGAAAGAGTTATGAAATTATTTGTCTGTTCGTGCAGCACAGTGCTTTCTCTCTGTGTGTGGCATTCTATATATAACCCAGAGAGGATGCCTGGCTCTGCCATTCAACATTAAAACAACAAACACCTCTGTGGCTTCTCTTTCAACAGGGACTTTTATCTAATATTGAGGAAATTGCCAACTTTTGCCCTTTTTTCCCTTTGACACTTTTTTAATTTCAGGGATTAGTAATATATCTGCAAACCCCGCCCATATCATAAAAAAATCCCAACGGGAAATGCACCCCCCCCAAATTCATATAACCCTTTTTAAAAAAAATTCATTTTATTTTTCTGTCTAATGTGCCTTGGGGTTCTAATTGGGAACAAATGTTTTTTTTTGATATTAGAACCGTTCGGGTTTCCCTTTCCCCCCCAGCAGTCCCTTTTTGGGTTTAATCCTTCCTTCCCCCCCCAGTCATTGGTTGAATCATTCCTCCCCAAAAGCAGTAATTGGTTTTAATCCTTTTCCCCCCCCAGCATTTATTGGTTGAAAACCTTCTTTTCCCCCGCAGTCATTTTGGGTTAATCCTTTTTTCCCCCGCATCATTGGTTGAATCCTTTTTCTCCCAAACAGTCATTGGGGTTTAAAACCTTCTTCCCAACCCCCCCGCGTTATTGGTTTTAATCCTTCTTCTCCCAGCAGTGATGGTTGAATATTTGCTCCAGCAGTAATTGGTGAATCCTTTCTTCACCCAGCAGTCATTGGTTGAATCTCTTCTTTTCCAGCAGTCATTGGTCTGATTTTCTCTTCCCCCAAGCAGTTCATTGGTTGGAATCCTTCTTCACCCCAGCAGTCATTGGTTGAATCCTTCTTCCCCCAGCAGTCATTGGTTGAATCCTTCTTCCCGCAGCAGTCATTGGTTGAATCCTTCTTCTCCCATCAGTCATTGGTTGAATCTTTCTTCTCCCAGCAGTCATTGGATGAATCCTTCTTCCCCCAAGCAGTCATGGTTGGAATCTCAGTTCTTCTCCCATCACGTACATTGGTTGACATCCTTTCTTCGGCCCAGCAGTCATTGGTTGAATCCTTCTTCCCCCAGCAGTTTTTGGTTGAATCCTTCTTCTCCCAGCAGTCATTGATTGAATCCTTCTTCTTCCAGCAGTCATTTGTTGATTTTCTGTTCCCCCAGCAGTCATTGGTTGATTACCTCTTCCCCCGGCAGTCATTGGTTGAGAGGCCATGCAGGGGCAGGAAGCTGGGGCATACTTTAACGATGATGTGTGATTGGTTAATAATGAAAGAGTTATGAATTATTTTGTCTGTTCGTGCAGCACAGTGCTTCTCTCTGTGTGTGGCATTCTATATATAACCCAGAGAGGATGCCTGGCTCTGCCATTCAACATTAAAACAACAAACACCTCTGTGGCTTCTCTTTCAACAGGGACTTTATCTAATATTGAGGAATGCCAACTGTTTGATCCTTTTTTCATGACACTATTTAATTCATGGACTTAGTAATATATCTCCTCTAGGTTTTCCAACCCAATCTGACTAAAGAGCTTTCTTGATAGGTTATCATCGTCCTCGACTATGTTTTAGGTATTTCTTTGTATTTTAATCTGAACTAGAGACAATCAGGTTGCAGTGAGAGTCCAGTTGATCTGGCTGTGGGAGAATGGAGGAGAAGGACCATATATAAAGTCCCTGTTCCTAATGCCAGAGGAGCCTGAGTAAGTCTTTACTGCCCGCCGCATTGGCTGGCATCGCCAGGGTAATGGGATCGTGATCAAGCTGCTGACGGCCAGCTCTGTCAGAGTGGGCAGACCAGGCAGGGGGCACCCCGCTGGGCAGCAGCTCCGGGGCTCCAATGCTGCAGGGCTCCCCCTGTCTCCAAGGCCCCAATGCTGCAGGTTTCTCTGGCTCCATGCAGCACTCCATGCAGGGTTCCAACACTGCAAACTCAACTGACTCCAAGCCTCGGCTCCAATACTGCAGGCTCCCCCGGCTTCAAGGCTCCACACTGCAGGTTTAGTGATTAGGGGACAATATAAGACAAGTGGATTACTGTTAATGATTATTCTAGATGATCCCATTTCCATTTCCAACACATTACACTATCAGTGCATTATTCTATGGTTTTCAGTGTTTGCTGGCATATACACTGAGTGTACAAAAAATTATGAACACCTGCTCTTTCCATGACATAGAGTGACCTGGTGAATCCAGGTGAAAGCTATGGTCCCTATTGATGTCACTTGTTAAATCCACTTCAATCAATGTAGATGACGGGGAGGAGACAGGTTAAAGAAGGATTTTAAAGCCTTGAGACAATTGAGACATGGATTGTGTATGTGTGGCATTCAGAGGGTGAATGGGCAAGACAAAAGATTGAAGTGCCTTTGAACGGGGTATGGTAGTAGGTGCCAGGCGCACCGGTTGGTGTCAAGAACTGCTTGGTTTTTCACGCTCAACAGTTTCCCGTGTGTATCAAGAATGGTCCACCACCCAAAGGACATCCAGCCAACTTGACACAACTGTGAAAAGCATTGGAGTCAACATGGGCCAGCATCCCTGTGGAACGCTTTCGACACCTTGTGGAGTCACACTCAATATTAAGAAGGTGTTCTTAATGTTTTGCACACTCAGTGTATATAGACGTTAATCTACCACTCTGCTCGCATTATATACAACAATAATGTGTAAAGATTATAGATTTTCAGCTGTCCATATTCATTGATATAACTGCTACCAATATAGAAGATGCAATGCACAGAAGGAGCTGCCTGAAACCATGTGCGGCTTCCTATCTGATATCATGAGTGCTTTAGTACATGGTCAACATCAGCCTTATCTCTATTGGCAGGACTAGACACAGTAGCCTGGGCGCTCCGACTGTACACAGGGCTGATCCCTTCAAACATCTACTGTACTGTACACAGGACTGATCCCTTCCAACATCTACTGTACTGTACACCGGGCTGATCCCTTCAAACATCTACTGTACTGTACACAGGGCTGATCCCTTCCAACATCTACTGTACTGTACACCGGGCTGATCCCTTCCAACATCTACTGTACTGTACACCGGGCTGATCCCTTCAAACATCTACTGTACTGTACACAGGGCTGATCCCTTCAAACATCTACTGTACTGTACACAGGGCTGATCCCTTCCAACATCTACTGTACTGGGCTTAGTCAGATATCTACTGTACTGTACTGGGCTCAGTCGGATATCTACTGTACCATAAACACTCCACAGTCCTCAAGGACATTAACACTCCACAGTCCTCAAAGCCATAACACTCCACAGTCCTCATCATTAACACTACACAGTCCTCAATCTATTAACACTACACAGTCCTCAAAGCCATTAACACTCCACAGTCCTCAAAGCCATTAACACTCCACAGTCCTCAAAACCATTAACACTCCACAGTCCTCAAGGCCATTAACACTCCACAGTCCTCAAGGCCATTAACACCATATTTTTTCTAATTTCAGGCCACAATCGGAATAGACTTCCTTTCAAAAACGATGTACTTGGAAGACCGAACGGTAAGTAGCTCAATCTAAAACACACAGATACACAGAGAATATGTTAATTTGTTCATAATCCACGGCGCTTTACTGCCATTTCAATGTCAACACCAGGTCCACACCTTGTCACTGTGAAATATCGTCCCCTCAGTGTTAGATATACAGGTGTGCCAAATGGCACCCTATTCCCCACGGGCCTCTGTTTAAAAGTAGTGCACTACATAGGGAATAGGGTGCCATTTGGGATGCAGCCCACGGTTTGTGGGTCTTGAACCCTTAATATATACAGTGATTGGTCCACACACACACACACACACACACACACACACGCGTCAGTTGAAGTAGGCCTGACATTGATGTCATGTCCATGGCATAAGAAATGTAAATTTATACAATCTAACATGTGTGCATGTCTGTCTGTGCCATGGTTAAGCACGTCTTTTACATACCCTGACATTGAGAAGGTGTCAATGGGGATCAAGGGGCGTGAGTTTATGTTAATAGTTTGTGTTGGAACTACTGTGTGTATGTGTGTGTGTGTGTGTGTGTGTGTGTGTGTGTGTACATTGGTTGCCTGTGTGTGTGTGTGTGTGTGTACATTGGTTGCCTGTGTGTGTGTGTACACTATATGTGTATCAGTGATACACAATAGACCAGTGTAAGGGAGCCAGCGGCCCCAGGCTCTCTCTGATCCCATGGTGTGTCTCTCTGATCCCCAGGTGTCTCTCTCTGATCCCCAGGTGTCTCTCTCTGATCCCATGGTGTCTCTCTCTGATCCCCAGGTGTCTCTCTCTGATCCCCAGGTGTCTCTCTCTGATCCCCAGGTGTCTCTCTCTGATCCGCAGGTGGCTCTCTCTGATGCCATGGTGTCTCTCTCTGATCCCCAGGTGTCTCTCTCTGATCCCCAGGTGTCTCTCTCTGATCCCCAGGTGTCTCTCTCTGATCCCCAGGTGTCTCTCTCTGATCCCCAGGTGTCTCTCTCTGATCCCCAGGTGTGTCTCTCTGATCCCCAGGTGTGTCTCTCTGATCCCCAGGTGTGTCTCTCTGATCCCCAGGTGTCTCTCTCTGATCCCCAGGTGTCTCTCTCTGATCCCCAGGTGTCTCTCGCTGATCCCCAGGTGTCTCTCTCTGATCCCCAGGTGTGTCTCTCTGATACCCAGGTGTGTCTCTCTGATCCCCAGGTGTCTCTCGCTGATCCCCAGGTGTCTCTCTGATCCCCAGGTGTCTCTCTCTGATCCCCAGGTGTCTCTCTCTGATCCCCAGGTGTCTCTCGCTGATCCCCAGGTGTGTCTCTCTGATCCCCAGGTGTGTCTCTCTGATCCCCAGGTGTGTCTCTCTGATCCCCAGGTGTGTCTCTCTGATCCCCAGGTGTGTCTCTCTGATCCCCAGGTGTGTCTCTCTGATCCCCAGGTGTGTCTCTCTGATCCCCAGGTGTGTCTCTCTGATCCCCAGGTGTGTCTCTCTGATCCCCAGGTGTCTCTCTGATCCCCAGGTGTCTCTCTCTGATCCCAAGGTGTCTCTTTGATGTACACGTGTCTCTCTCTGATCCCCAGGTGTGTATCTCTGATCCCCAGGTGTGTATCTCTGATCCCCAGGTGTGTATCTCTCTGATCCCCAGGTGTATCTCTGATCCCCAGGTGTGTATCTCTCTGATCCCCATGTGTCTCTCTGATCCCCAGGTGTCTCTCTGATCCCCAGGTGTCTCTCTCTGATCCCCAGGTGTCTCTCTCTGATCCCCAGGTGTCTCTCTCTGATCCCCAGGTGTCTCTCTCTGATCCCCAGGTGTCTCTCTCTGATCCCCAGGTGTCTCTCTCTGATCCACAGGCGTCTCTCTCTGATCCCCAGGTGTCTCTCTGATCCCCAGGTGTGTCTCTCTGATCCCCAGGTGAGGTTGCAGCTGTGGGACACGGCAGGACAGGAGCGCTTCAGGAGCCTCATACCCTCCTACATACGAGACTCTACTGTGGCCGTGGTGGTGTATGATATTACAAGTGAGTGGGGCTCACACACGTACACACACACACACACACACACACACACACACACACACACACACATTGTATGCTGTCATGATGACTGGAATCAGGACACCATGGACACACACTTTTATTCCTCCATAATGGTTCTTTAAGTAAGCAGCAGCACTATAAACATTTAAATCAGTCTAAACCATGTACATCAGTCTATAACCATGTACATCAGTCTATAACCATGTACATCAGTCTATAACCATGTACATCAGTCTATAACCATGTACATCAGTCTATAACCATGTACATCAGTCTATAACCATGTACATCAGTCTATAACCATGTACATCAGTCTATAACCATGTACATCAGTCTATAACCATGTACATCAGTCTATAACCATGTACATCAGTCTATAACCATGTACATCAGTCTATAACCATGTACATCAGTCTATAACAATGTAAATCAGTCTATAACAATGTAAATCAGTCTATAACCATGCAAATGAGTCTATAACCATGTAAATCAGTCTTTAACCATGTAAATCAGCCTTTAACCATGTAAATCAGTCTATAACCATGTAAATCATTATATAACCATGTAAATCAGTCTATAACCATGTACATTACATTTACATTTACATTTACGTCATTTAGCAGACGCTCTTATCCAGAGCGACTTACAAATTGGTGCATTCACCTTATAGCCAGTGGGATAACCACTTTACAATGGTTTTTTTTTTTTTTTTTGGGGGGGGGGGGGGGCGTGGTGGGGTGGGGTGGGGTAAGTGGGGGGTAGAAGGATTACTTTATCCTATCCCAGGTATTCCTTAAAGAGGTGGGGTTTCAAATGTCTCCGGAAGGTGGTGAGTGACTCCGCTGTCCTGGCGTCGTGAGGGAGCTTGTTCCACCATTGGGGTGCCAGAGCAGCGAACAGTTTTGACTGGGCTGAGCGGGAACTGTGCTTCCGCAGAGGTAGGGGAGCCAGCAGGCCAGAGGTGGATGAACGCAATGCCCTCGTTTGGGTGTAGGGACTGATCAGAGCCTGAAGGTACGGAGGTGCCGTTCCCCTCACAGCTCCGTAGGCAAGCACCATGGTCTTGTAGCAGATGCGAGCTTCAACTGGAAGCCAGTGGAGTGAGCGGAGGAGCGGGGTGACGTGAGAGAACTTGGGAAGGTTGAACACCAGACGGGCTGCAGCATTCTGGATGAGTTGTAGGGGTTTAATGGCACAGGCAGGGAGCCCAGCCAACAGCGAGTTGCAGTAATCCAGACGGGAGATGACAAGTGCCTGGATTAGGACCTGTGCCGCTTCCTGTGTAAGGCAGGGTCGTACTCTCCGAATGTTGTAGAGCATGAACCTACAGGATCGGGTCACCGCCTTGATGTTAGTGGAGAACGACAGGGTGTTGTCCAGGGTCACGCCAAGGCTCTTCGCACTCTGGGAGGAGGACACAACGGAGTTGTCAATCGTGATGGCGAGATCATGGAACGGGCAGTACTTCCCCGGGAGGAAGAGCAGCTCCGTCTTGCCAAGGTTCAGCTTGAGGTGGTGATCCGTCATCCATACTGATATGTCTGCCAGACATGCAGAGATGTGATTCGCCACCTGGTTATCAGAAGGGGGAAAGGAGAAGATTAGTTGTGTGTCGTCTGCGTAGCAATGATAGGAGAGGCCATGTGAGGATATGACAGAGCCAAGTGACTTGGTGTATAGCGAGAATAGGAGAGGGCCTAGAACTGTGGTGAGAGCACGTGGTGTGGAGACAGCTTCTCGCCACGCCACTTGGTAGGAGCGACCGGTCAGGTAGGACGCAATCCAAGAGTGAGCCGCGCCGGAGATGCCCAGCTCGGAGAGGGTGGAGAGGAGGATCTGATGGTTCACAGTATCAAAGGCAGCAGACAGGTCTAGAAGGACAAGAGCAGAGGAGAGAGTTAGCTTTAGCAGTGCGGAGAGCCTCCGTGACACAGAGAAGAGCAGTCTCAGTTGAATGACCAGTCTTGAAACCTGACTGGTTTGGATCAAGAAGGTCATTCTGAGAGAGATAGCAAGAGAGTTGGCTAAAGACGGCACGCTCAATAGTTTTGGAGAGAAAAGAAAGAAGGGATACTGGTCTGTAGTTGTTGACATCAGAGGGATCGAGTGTTGGTTTTTTGAGAAGGGGTGCAACTCTCGCTCTCTTGAAGACGGAAGGGACATAGCCAGCGGTCAAGGATGAGTTGATCAGCGAGGTGAGGTAAGGGAGAAGGTCACCGGAGATGGTCTGGAGAAGAGAGGAGGGGATAGGGTCAAGCGGGCAGGTTGTTGGGCGGCCGGCCGTCACAAGTCAATCAGTCTATAACCATGTAAATCAGTCTATAACCATGTAAATCAGTCTATAACCATGTAAATCGGTCTATAACCATGTAAGTCGGTCTATAACCATGTAAATCAGTTCATAATCAGTCTATAACCATATAAATTAGTCTATAACCATGTAAATCAGTTCATAATCAGTCTATAACCATGTAAATCAGTCTATAACATGTAAATCAGTCTATAATCAGTCTATAACCATGTAAGTAATCTACAACCATGTAAATCAGTCTATAACATGTAAATCAGTCTATAATCAGTCTATAACCATGTAAGTAATCTACAACCATGTAAGTAATCTATAACCATGTAAATCAGTCTATAACCACGTAAAAGTTTATAATCAGTCTATAACCATGTAAGTCATCTATAACCATGTAAATCAGTCTATAACCATTTAAGTCATCTATAACCATGTAAGTCATCTATAACCATGTAAATCAGTCTATAACCATGTAAGTCATCTATAACCATGTAAGTCATCTATAACCATGTAAGTAATCTATAACCATGTAAATCAGTCTATAACCACGTAAAAGTTTATAATCAGTCTATAACCATGTAAGTCATCTATAACCATGTAAGTCATCAATAACCATGTAAATCAGTCTATAACCATGTAAGTCATCAATAACCATGTAAATCAGTCTATAACCATGTAAGTCATCTATAACCATGTAAATCAGTCTATAACCATGTAAGTCATCTATAACCATGTAAGTCAGTCTATAACCATGTAAATCAGTCTATAACCATGTAAAGCAGTGTAACCATACAAGTCAGTCTATAACCATTTAAGTCAGTCTATAACCATTTAAGTCAGTCTATAACCATGTAAGTCATCTATAACCATGTAAATCAGTCTATAACCATGTAAGTCATCTATAACCATGTAAGTCAGTCTATAACCATGTAAGTCATCTATAACCATGTAAGTAATCTATAACCATGTAAATCAGTCTATAACCACGTAAAAGTTTATAATCAGTCTATAACCATGTAAATCAGTCTATAACCATGTAAGTCATCTATAACCATGTAAGTAATCTATAACCATGTAAATCAGTCTATAACCACGTAAAAGTTTATAATCAGTCTATAACCATGTAAGTCATCTATAACCATGTAAGTCAGTCTATAACCATGTAAGTCATCAATAACCATGTAAATCAGTCTATAACCATGTAAGTCATCTATAACCATGTAAATCAGTCTATAACCATGTAAGTCATCTATAACCATGTAAGTCAGTCTATAACCATGTAAATCAGTCTATAACCATGTAAAGCAGTGTAACCATACAAGTCAGTCTATAACCATTTAAGTCAGTCTATAACCATTTAAGTCAGTCTATAACCATGTAAGTCATCTATAACCATGTAAGTAATCTATAACCATGTAAATCAGTCTATAACCACGTAAAAGTTTATAATCAGTCTATAACCATGTAAGTCATCTATAACCATGTAAATCAGTCTATAACCATGTAAGTCATCTATAACCATGTAAATCAGTCTATAACCATGTAAGTCATCTATAACCATGTAAGTCAGTCTATAACCATGTAAGTCATCAATAACCATGTAAATCAGTCTATAACCATGTAAGTCATCTATAACCATGTAAATCAGTCTATAACCATGTAACTCAGTCTATAACCATGGAAGTCAGTCTATAACCATGTACATCAGTCTATAACCATGTAAATCAGTCTATAACCATGTAAGTCGGTCTATAACCATGTAAGTCAGTCTATAACCATGTAAGTCCATCTATAACCATGTAAATCAGTCTATAACCATGTACATCAGTCTATAACCATGTAAATCAGTCTATAACCATGTAAGTCAGTCTATAACCATGTAAGTCAGTCTATAACCATGTAAGGCAGTCTATAACCATGTAAGGCAGTCTATAACCATGTAAGTCCATCTATAACCATGTAAGTCAGTCTATAGCTATGTAAGTCAGTCTATAGCTATGTAAGTCAGTCTATAGCTATGTAAGTCAGTCTATAACCATGTAAGTCAGTCTATAACCATGTAAGTCAGTCTATAACCATGTAAGTCAGTCCTTGTAGATCTGATCAGGTTGTTTCTCTGTTCTCCACAATAAACTGTGACATTTGTATTGTCTCAGATCCCATTGAGTCCATCAGAGTCAGTGGTTTAATATGTTTGTGATGGAGTGGAGCCGGTCATGTTTAAGACCACACACACACACACACACACACACACACACACACACACACACACACACACACACACACAGTCTTTAAGACCCTAACCCTCAGGAGATGAACACTTAAGCTAATTGTATAACTAACGTGGCTCCCTTCCCAGAAGGCTGTGTTTTCGTTTCACCTTGAAGCGAAGGAGCAGTGGGTGTTCCTTGTCAATTCCCTGTGATGTGGTACAGCCTTTGATCACAGGAACACCCAGTCCTGCGTTCTGAATGGAAGTGGGGTGTGTCAAGTCAATAGGAATGGATTGATAGGAATAGTATCAAATACTATCTGAATAGTACGTGGAATCTACCAAACCCACTTAGAAATTGTCTAACATTTGTTATTTTCATCTTAAATCTGAGGTGATATGCAAATTACATTTGTGAATATTGAATTTATTCAGTGTGTCTGTATACATTGTATGCGCAAAAGGCAAGTTTTTGGCAAAAGGCAAGTTTAAACAATATCTGATATTGAATCCACTTGAAATACCATTTTGCTTCTGCTATTCCTCAACAGATGTGAACTCCTTCCAGCAAACTTCCAAATGGATCGATGATGTCAGAACAGAGAGAGGAAGTGATGTCATTATCATGCTCGTCGGCAACAAAACAGACTTGGGAGATAAGAGGTATGAAGTGTTACATTCGGTCATGATTTCTGTAGCAGCCTCAGACGGATGATGAGGACTGTGGTAGGAGCCACATGCATGTCATGCTGTGTTAAAAAGCAAGGGTCTTATTTATGGACCGGGGGAGTGACAAGGCTTTTAGTTGGTGTTTTTCAGGCTTCAGACACATTTAATTAAACATGAAGACATAGAGTGGTATGCCTCAGTCTGTCTCTCTATCTGTATCCAACGAACCCAATGACACCTCTGGCTGGTACAGGCCATGCTAAACCACCACACACAAAGCCTATTAAATCCAATATATATTTATATTTTTAAGTGTTTAAATAATTTAGCAGACGCACTCATCCAGAGCGACATCAGTGAGTGCATACATTTTTTATATTTTTTCCCGTACTGGTCCCTTGTGGGAATCGAACCCACAACCCTGGCGTTGCAAGCGCCACGCTCTACCAACTGAGCCACACGAGACCAAATGGCACCCTATTCCCTTGAAAGTGCACTACTTTTGACCAGGCGGCCCTATGGGTAAAGTAAAGCACTATAACGGGGAATAGGGTGCCCATTTGGGACGAAGACAAAGCCAACTTCATAGTGATGGTCAGCGTCTCTAGCCTGCAAATAATAGTGTTTACAGGGTCGTTAACATGGCAGGCATAGCTCTACTGCTGCTGCAGCTGATACTCAGAGCCAGAGGATAGATCCCAAATAGCACCCTATTCCTTACATAGTGCACTAATTCTGACACAAACCTGGTCAAAAGTAGTGCACTATATAGGGAATATGGTGCCATTTGGGACGCACCCCCAGTGTCTAATTGATCTAGGGAAGGCAGATAAAAAGTGCTGTGCAAGGCGGTTTCCTGAGTCAGACTGACTGGATCAGTCAATTAACATTCAAGGAAGGCGGCCATAACGGCAGATAAAAGCTGTTTCAGGCTGTAGGACAGGGATTAGATCAGGCTGTAGGACAGGGATTAGATCAGGCTGTAGGACAGGGATTAGATCAGGCTGTAGGACAGGGATTAGAGCAGGCAGTAGCACAGGGATTAGAGCAGGCAGTAGGACAGGGATTAGATTAGGCTGTAGGACAGGGATTAGAGCAGGCTGTATGACAGGGATTAGATCAGGCTGTAGGACAGGGATTAGAGCAGGCAGTAGGACAGGGATTAGAGCAGGCAGTAGGACAGGGATTAGATTAGGCTGTAGGACAGGGATTAGAGCAGGCTGTATGACAGGGATTAGATTAGGCTGTATGACAGGGATTAGATCAGGCTGTAGGACAGGGATTAGATCAGGCTGTAGGACAGGGATTAGATCAGGCTGTAGGACAGGGATTAGATCAGGCTGTAGGACAGGGATTAGATCAGGTTGTATGACAGGGATTATATCAGGCTGTATGACAGGGATTAGATCAGGCTGTAGGACAGGGATTAGATCAGGCTGTAGGAGAGGGATTAGATCAGGCTGTATGACAGGGATTAGATCAGGCTGTAGGACAGGGATTAGATCAGGTTGTATGACAGGGATTAGATCAGGCTGTAGGATAGGGATTAGATCAGGCTGTATGACAGGGATTAGAGCAGGCTGTAGGACAGGGATTAGAGCAGGCTGTAGGACAGGGATTAGAGCAGGCTGTATGACAGGGATTAGAGCAGGCTGTAGAACGGGGATTAGAGCAGGCTGTAGGACGGGGATTAGAGCAGGCTGTATGACAGGGATTAGAGCAGGCTGTAGAACGGGGATTAGAGCAGGCTGTAGGACAGGGATTAGAGCAGGCTGTAGAACAGGGATTAGAGCAGGCTGTAGGACAGGGATTAGAGCAGGCTGTAGGACAGGGATTAGATCAGGCTGTAGGACGGGGATTAGATCAGGTGTAGGACAGGGATTAGATCAGGCTGTAGGACAGGGATGAGATCAGCTAGCTACCACATGAGATATTAATAAGAGCAAAAGGCTGTCTTGTAGACATGTTGCAGTGTGTTAAGGCTGGGCTGTCTTGAAGACATGTTGCAGTGTGTTAAGGCTGGTGTGTAGACATGTTGCAGTGTGTTAAGGCTGGTGTGTAGCCATGTTGCAGTGTGTTAAGGCTGGTGTGTAGACATGTTGCAGTGTGTTAAGGCTGGTGTGTAGCCATGTTGCAGTGTGTTAAGGCTGGTGTGTAGACATGTTGCAGTGTGTTAAGGCTGGTGTGTAGACATGTTGCAGTGTGTTAAGGCTGGTGTGTAGACATGTTGCAGTGTGTTAAGGCTGGTGTGTAGCCATGTTGCAGTGTGTTAAGGCTGGTGTGTAGACATGTTGCAGTGTGTTAAGGCTGGTGTGTAGACATGTTGCAGTGTGTTAAGGCTGGTGTGTAGACATGTTGCAGTGTGTTAAGGCTGGGCTGTCTTGTAGACATGTTGCAGTGTGTTAAGGCTGGTGTGTAGACATGTTGCAGTGTGTTAAGGCTGGGCTGTCCTGTAGACATGTTGCAGTGTGTTAAGGCTGGTGTGTAGACATGTTGCAGTGTGTTAAGGCTGGTGTGTAGACATGTTGCAGTGTGTTAAGGCTGGTGTGTAGACATGTTGCAGTGTGTTAAGGCTGGTGTGTAGACATGTTGCAGTGTGTTAAGGCTGGTGTGTAGACATGTTGCAGTGTGTTAAGGCTGGTGTGTAGACATGTTGGCAGTGTGTTAAGGCTGGTGTGTAGACATGTTGCAGTGTGTTAAGGCTGGTGTGTAGCCATGTTGCAGTGTGTTTAAGGCTGGTGTGTAGACATGTTGCAGTGTGTTAAGGCTGGTGTGTAGACATGTTGCAGTGTGTTAAGGCTGGTGTGTAGACATGTTGCAGTGTGTTAAGGCTGGGCTGTCTTGTAGACATGTTGCAGTGTGTTAAGGCTGGTGTGTAGACATGTTGCAGTGTGTTAAGGCTGGGCTGTCCTGTAGACATGTTGCAGTGTGTTAAGGCTGGGCTGTCCTGTAGACATGTTGCAGTGTGTTAAGGCTGGTGTGTAGACATGTTGCAGTGTGTTAAGGCTGGTGTGTAGACATGTTGCAGTGTGTTAAGGCTGGTGTGTAGACATGTTGCAGTGTGTTAAGGCTGGTGTGTAGACATGTTGCAGTGTGTTAAGGCTGGTGTGTAGACATGTTGCAGTGTGTTAAGGCTGGTGTGTAGACATGTTGCAGTGTGTTAAGGCTGGTGTGTAGACATGTTGCAGTGTGTTAAAGGAAAACTCCACCAAAAACTATCCTTTGGTATTTGTTTCACTACTCCATTGTTGACATATTCCCAAAATGTTTTGCTTGTCAGCAATCAAGTTCTCAAGATATGTAACTTCCAAAATACAGAAATCATCCCTGTATGATGCGTTTTGCATCATATGATATAGGCCACATAAGTTACAATCAGTGTTTCAATCAATTGAGTTTACAGGGGACATTCTCACCATACCTTTTCACCAATGTTCAACACTTGTCTTGTATGCTTTGTATTCTAGTGACTGCCCCCCCTACCCTTCCTCTCTACATTATCGGAGGTCTGTCAATGTCTGTGATTCATCATATTTCAGTGGGAGCATCTGATGCTTGGAGAGAGTCCATGGAAATGAAACTTAAAGGGTTATTTGCATACACTCTGTTCAGGCACACAGTCTTAACTAGATGGAGTTCGCATACACATAACATGATTCTGCCACAACAATACTTGAAAGTACAAAAAATACAACAACATTGCATTAACTCCACATTACTGACCTTTATGACAAAGTGAAAAGAAGACTGTATTTTTTTTTTTATCACTTCAAATCATCCATTCTGTTTGCAACAAGGCCTTTAACTAATACTGCAAGACAACACGGCAAAGAAAATAACTTTCTTGACTAAATTAAAAGCTATAGGTTTCGGTCAAATCCAATGCAACACAACGCAGAGTGAAACCCTCTGGGGCGCCATACTTGTGAACTTTTGCTTAGACCATTGTTAAAAAAACATTGGTCTAAAATGGCTGGCTGCTAGCTTTTCTCAAAGGCCAACCTGGCCAAATCAGCCACGATGCTGAGGATGGCCAGCTGAGCACATCGTTATATCCCCGGTAACTTTTTCACTAATGCATCCTTAGCAGAAGTCCACCGGCACATTCTGATACTCAAATTTAACTGCATCACATGATGAGAACACGGTGATAGGATGCCTAGTTCCTCAGCCCGGTCTCATAGACTACACGTACATTTACACGTACATTTACGTCATTTAGCAGACGCTCTTATCCAGAACGCCTTACAAATTGGTGCATTCAACTTATGATAGCCAGTGGGACAACCACTTTTTATTTTTAAAATATTTTTTATGTGGGGTGGGGGGTAGAAGGATTACTTTTATAATATTCCAGGTATTCCTTAAAGAGGTAGGGTTTCAAGTGTCTCCGGAAGGTGGTCAGTGACTCCGCTGTCCTGGCGTCGTGGGGGGAGCTTGTTCCACCATTGGGGTGCCAGAGCAGCGAATAGCTTTGACTGGGCTGAGCGGGAACTGTGCTTCCGTAGAGGTAGGGGGGGGCTAGCAGGCCAGGTGGATGAACGTAGTGCCCTCGGACTAAAAGAAAACCAGAGACACTCAAATTAGTATGATATGTTAAGTTTTGGTATGGTTACATAAGACAGATGGTTACTTAAGGCAAAAACAAAAGTAGGGTGGGGTGGGCTTATAATGCAAACGTCTAGCAACCCAAAGGTTCCAAGTTCGAATCTCATCACGGACAACTTTAGCATTTTAGCTAATTAGCAACTTTTCAACTACTTACTACTTTTTTTTAGCTACTTTGCAACTACTTAGCATGTTAGCTAACCCTTCCCCTAACCCAAATCTTAACCCTTTAACAACTCCTAAACTTAACCCTAACCCCTAGCCCAGCTAACATTAGCCAGCTAGCTAACGTAAGCCACCTAGCCACCTAGCTAGAATTCATTTGTTTGGCAAAATTCGTAACATATAATACGAATTGTAATCCATAACATATCATACGAAATGGGTGATGGACATCCACAAATTAATGCATACCATAATACATACACTACATGGCCAAAAGTATGTGGACACCTCATTCCAAAATCATGGGCATTATTATGGAGTTGGTCCCCCCTTTGCTGCTATAACAGCCTCCACTCTTCTGGGAAGGCTTTCCACTAGATGTTGGAACATTGCTGCGGGGACTTGCTTCCAGTCAGCCACAAGAGCATTAGTGAGGTCGGGCACTGATGTTGGGCGATTAGGCAAAAACACACAAAAAAAAAAATGTATGCACGCATGACTGTAAGTCGCTTTGGATAAAAGCGTCTGCTAAATGGCATATTATTATTATATTATAGGCCTGGCTCGCAGTCGGCGTTCCAATTCATCCCAAAGTTGTTAGATGGGATTACGGTCAGGGCTCTGTGCAGGCCAGTCAATTTCTTTCACACCGATCTCGACAAACCATTTCTGTACGGACCTTGCTTTGTGCACGGGGCATTGTCATGCCGAAACAAGATAGGACCTTCCCCAAACTGTTGACAAAAAGTTGGAAGCACAGAATCGTCTTGAATGCCATTATATGCTGTAGCGTTAAGATTTCCCTTCACTGGAACTAAGGGGCCTAACTCTAACCATGAAAAACAGCCCTAGACCATTATTCCTCCTCCACCAAACTTTACGGTTGGCACTATGCATTGGGGCAGGTAGCGTTCTCCTGGCATCTGCCAAACCCAGATTCGTCCGTCGGACTGCCAGATGCTGAAGCGTGATTCATCACTCCAGAAAATGCGTTTCCACTGCTCCAGAGTCCAATGGTGGCAAGCTTTACACCACTCCAGCCGACGCTTGGCATTGCGCATGGTGATCTTAGGCTTGTGTGCGGCTGCTCGGCCATGGGAACCTATTTCATGAAGCTCCCGACGAACAGTTCTTGTGCTGACGTTACTTCCAGAGTCAGTTTGGAACTCAGTAGTGAGTGTTGCAACCGAGGACAATCGGTTTTTACGTCCTACGCACTTCAGCACTCGGCGGTCCCGTTCTGTGAGCTTGTGTGGCCTACCACTTCGCGGCTGAGCCGTTGTTGCTCCTAGATGTTTCCACTTCACAATAGCACCACTTACAGTTGACTGGGGCAGCTCTAGCATGGCAGAAATTTTACGAACTAACTTGTTGGAAAGGTGGCATCCTATGATGGTGCCATATTGAAAGTCAGTGAGCTCTTCAGTAAGGCCATTCTACTGCCAATGTTTGTCTATGGAGATTGCATGGCTGTGTGCTCGAATTTATACACCTGTCAGCAATGGGTGTGGCTGAAATAGCCGAATCCACTAATTGGAAGGGGTGTCCACATACTTTTGCATCACAGGAGGCTGCTGAGGGGAGGACGGCTCATAATAATGGCTGGAATGGAGTGAATGGAATACCATTACATTTATTCTGTTCCAGCCATTTCTATGAGCCCTTCCTCCCCAATTAAGGTGGCACCGGACTCCTGTGTTTTGTATATTGTACCATACGAAACGTAACATCTCATACTAAATGGACTGTTTCGGATTTACGTACAGGATAATACAAAATGCTCTGAGACCAGGTTGAGTTCCTGACACTTTTCACCACTTGCCACATAAGTTCGAAACCCCCGTGGGGCGTCATAGTTTTTCCTTTGACATGTGGACTTACATTCATTGTGGTATTGTGTTAAGAAGGAAAGTGCAGTCATCACCTTAAAAATTAAGATTAAGGGCTTGATTCATTCAGATCCGCTTTAGCCAACATCCGCACAGCGGTTGTTCTGACTGTGTCGGAGGTGGAACTGCCTTAGAGCTGTCCAATCCACAAGTGGCTCCTGGCATTATACCTAAAGCGGACATTGCCATTGGCTGCACGGAGTCGCATTAACAGAAATCCCATGCAGCCTTTTTTACATGTTTGAACACTGGAATGTGATGTAATCTACACCTCCATATTGAAACTTAATTTACATTAGGATGATAGAAATCCTCTTCATTTTCTTTAATGATTTTTCAATTTGAGCGTCATTATTTCTATACATTATTTCTATACATTATTTCTATACATTATTTCTATACACTATTTCTACATATCTACACTTTTTCATTCTGAACTTCTAATGCAAGTGGGGCGGGTGTGGCTTCGTGACAATGATCGCAAGAGCAGCTGCTCGCCGATTTCAAGCCTCCAACGTAGTTACATCTCCATCGCAGTTACTCCTCCGACACGCCAAAACATCCGCTATGCGGGTGTCTGCTTTCGCCGGGTTAACGCCTAATCTGATTGAATCTAGGCCTTAGAATTAATTTCGTATTGCGTACGACTTTCTTCAGCCTTCTCCACAACCTGATGGGATAGACTTTATCAGCAGAGACCTGCCTGTGCTGCCAGGACTGGTGTGGGTGTCTAGGAAGTAGCTTATTGCAATGTGATGATGCTAGTGTTTCTTCTTCTGCTGCTTCTGATGCTATTTCTTCTTCTTCTTCTTCTTCTTCTTCTTCTTCTTCTTCTTCTTCTGCTCCTCCTCCTCCTCCTCCTCCTCCTCCTCCTCCTCCTCAGTGGACCTGACGAGCTAGGGTAGGCCTACAGCGTATTCACACCACTTGACTTTTTCCACATTTTGTTACATTACAGCCTTATTCTGAAATTCATTAAATTGTTTTTTTCCTCACAATACCCCATAATGACAAAGCAAAAACAAGTTTTTATACATTTATGCAAAAAACGGAAATATCAAATTTACATAAGTATTCAGACCCTTTACTCAGTACTTTGTTGAAGCACCTTTGGCAGCGATAACAGCCTCGAGTCTTCTTGGGTATGACGCTACAAGCTTGGCACACCTGTATTTGGGGAGATTTTCCCATTCTTCTCTGCAGATCCTCTCAAGCTCTGTCAGTTTGGATGGGAAGCGTTGCTGCACAGCTATTTTCAGGTCTCTCCAGAGATCTTCAATCGGTATGAATTCCGGGCTCAAGTCCGGGCTCTGGCTGGGCCACTCAAGGACATTCAGAGACTTGTACCGAAGCCACTCCTGCGTTGTATTGGCTGTGTGCTTAGGGTCGTTGTCCTGTTGGAAGGTGAACCTTCGCCCCAGTCTGAAGTCCTGAGCACTCTGGAGCAGCTTTTATTTTTATTATTTATTTTTTATTTTTGGTCATTTAGCAGACGCTCTTATCCAGAGCGACTTACAGGAGCAATTAGGGTTAAGTGCCTTGCTCAAGGGCACATCGACAGATTTTTCACCTAGTCGGCTCGGGGATTAGAACCAGCGACCTTTCGGTTACTGGCACAACGCTCTTACCCACTAAGCTACCTGCCGCCCCACAGTGGTCCAATAAAATAAAATAAAAAAGCTTTTCATCAAGGATCTCTCTGTACTTTGCTCCATTCATCTTTGCCTCGATCCTGAATTCTTGCTCACCTCCCTGACCAAGGCCCTTTCCCCCCGATTGCTCAGTTTGGCCGGGCGACCAGCTCTAGGAAGAGTCTTGGTGGTTCCAAACTTCTTTGATTTGAGAATGACAGAGGCCACTGTGTTCTTGGGGACCTTCAATGCTGCAGAAATTTTTTGGTACCATTCCCCAGATCTGTGCCTCGACACAATCCTGTCTCTGAGCTCTACGGACAATTCCTTCGACCTCATGGCTTGGTTTTTGCTCTGATAACTGTGGGACCTTATATAGACAGGTGTGTGCCTTTCCAAACCGTGTAGCTCAGTTGGTAGAGCATGGCGCTTGCAACGCCAGGGTTGTGGGTTCGATTCCCACGGGGGGCCAGTATGAAAATGTATGCACTCACTAACTGTAAGACGCTATGGATAAGAGCGTCTGCTAAATGACTAAAATGTAAAAAAAAAAAAAAAAAAAAAAAAGTGCAATCAATTGAATTTACCACAGGTGGACTCCAATCAAGTTGTAGAAACATCTCAAGGATGATCAATGGAAACATGATGCACCTGAGCTCAATTTTGAGTCTCATAGCAAAGGGTCTGAATACTTATTTAAATAAGGTATTTCTGTTTTTATTTGTAATACATTTGCTAAAAATTCTAAACCTGTTTTCGCTTTGTCATTATGGGGTATTGTGTGCAGATTGCTGATTTTTTTTTTTTTTTTATGCATTTTAGAATAAGGCTGTAGCGTAACAAAATGTGGAAAAAGTCAAGGGATCTGAATACTTTCCGAAGGCACTGATGATGAATATAGAATGCTGGGACCCAGAGGTATTGTACAGTCATGTATCCAGAGATAGCACCACTGTCAGGTGGTAGTATACAGTGAATAGAGCTCCAGAGATAGCACCACTGTCAGGTGGTAGTATACAGTGAATAGAGCTCCAGAGATAGCACCACTGTCAGGTGGTAGTATACAGTGAATAGAGCTCCAGAGATAGCACCACTGTCAGGTGGTAGTATACAGTGAATAGAGCTCTAGAGATAGCACCACTGTCAGGTGGTAGTATACAGTGAATAGAGCTCCAGAGATAGCACCACTGTCAGGTGGTAGTATACAGTGAATAGAGCTCCAGAGATAGCACCACTGTCAGGTGGTAGTATACAGTGAATAGAGCTCTAGAGATAGCACCACTGTCAGGTGGTAGTATACAGTGAATAGAGCTCCAGAGATAGCACCACTGTCAGGTGGTAGTATACAGTGAATAGAGCTCCAGAGATAGCACCACTGTCAGGTGGTAGTATACAGTGAATAGAGCTCCAGAGATAGCACCACTGTCAGGTGGTAGTATACAGTGAATAGAGCTCCAGAGATAGCACCACTGTCAGGTGGTAGTATACAGTGAATAGAGCTCCAGAGATGTGGTGGTTCTGGGGTTCAGTTCATACTGAAGATGTTTTTCTCATTTCCTTCAGTCTATTGATCATAGCCAGATGAATATCTGGTACAGAATATCCCCCATGCGTTTCTTAAAGCTGACAGTTTGCTTCTTCTCACCTTTTAATGATACTGTTTGATTTAAGTCATATGTTACTGGGAAGAAGCATATCTTTTTTTTTAGATCTGAGAGGTCATTTTAGTTACAATAGCTACAGTTGAAGTCGGAAGTTTACATACACCTTTAGCCAAATACATTTAAACTCAGTTTTTCACAATTCCTGACATTTAATCCTAGTAAAAATTCCCTGTCTTAGGTCAGTCAGGATCACCACTTTATTTTAAGAATGTGAAATGTCAGAATAATAGTAGAGAGATTGATTTATTTCAGCTTTTATTTCTTTCATCACGTTCCCAGTGGGTCAGAAGTTTACATACACTCAATTAGTATTTGGTAGCATTGCCTTTAAATTGTTTAACTTGGGTCAAACATTTCAGGTAGCCTTCCACAAGCTTCCCACAATAAGTTGGGTGAATTTTGGCCCATTCCTCTTGACAGAGCTGGTGTAACTGAGTCAGGTTTGTAGGCCTCCTTGCTCGCACATGCTTTTTCAGTTCTGCCCACAAATGTTCTATAGGATTGAGGTCAGGGCTTTGTGATGGCCACTCCAATACCTTGACTTTGTTGTCCTTAAGCAATTTTGCCACAACTTTGGAAGTATGCTTGGGGTCATTGTCCATTTGGAAGACCCATTTGCGACCAAGCTTTAACTTCCTGACTGATGTCTTGAGATGTTGCTTCAATATATCCACATAATTTTCCTTCCTCATTCCTGCCATCTATTTTGTGAAGTGCACCAGTCCCTCTTGCAGCAAAGCACCCCCACAGCATGATGTTGCCACCCCCGTGCTTCACGGTTGGGATGGTGTCCTCGGCTTGCAAGTAACCCCCTTTTTCCTCCAAACATAACGATGGTCATTATGGCCAAACAGTTCTATTTTTGTTTCATCAGACCAGAGGACATTTCTCCAAAAAGTACGATCTTTGTCCCCACGTGCAGTTGCAAACCGTAGTCTGTCTTTTTAATAGCGGTTTTGGAGCAGTGGCTTCTTCCTTGCTGAGCGGCCTTTCAGGTTATGTTGATATAGGACTCGTTTTACTGTGGATATAGATACTTTTGTACCTGTTTCCTCCAGCATCTTCACAAGGTCCTTTGCTGTTGTTCTGGGATGGATTTTTGCACCAAAGTACGTTCATCTCTAGGAGACAGAACGCGTCTCCTTCCTGAGCGGTATGACGGCTGCGTGGTCCCATGGTGTTTATACTTGCGTACTATTGTTTGAACAGATGAACATGGTACCTTCAGGCGTTTTGAAATTGCTCTCAAGGATGAACCAGACTTGTGGAGGTCTACAATGTTTTTTCTGAGGTCTTCGCTGATTTCTTTTGATTCTTCCATGATGTTAAGCAAAGAGGCACTGAGTTTGAAGGTAGGCCTTGAAATACATCCACAGGTACACCTCCAATTGACTCAAATGATATCAATTAGCCTATCAGAAGCTTCTAAAGCCATGACATCATTTTCTGGAATTTTCCAAGCTGTTTAAAGGCGCAGTCAACTTAGTGTATGTAAACTTCTGACCCACTGGACTTGTGATACAGTGAATTATAAGTGAAATAATCTGTCTGTAAACAATTGTTGGAAAAATTACTTGTGTCATGCACAAAGTAGATGTCCTAACCGACTTGACAAAACTATAGTTTGTTAACAAGAAATGTGTGGAGTGGTCGAAAAACGAGTTTTAATGACTCCAACCTAAGTGTATGTAAACTTCCGACTTCAACTGTAGCTTGTTATGATGAATGTGTTTCACAACAAATTATATTTCAGAATTCATTTAGATACTGTAGGTCATTATGAATCTGTTCTGTCAAGAATAGCACTCCTAAACCCTCAGAGGACACGCATGTCAATAGAAAGTGGTAGTAAACGTTCAATCAAGTTGAGCCCTGCTTAGGGAATAGGGTGCCATTTGGGACTCAACCCTGGCTGTTGTTATTCTCTCTGTGCTGTGCTGAGGAGAACCAAGACGTCAGACTGGTTACAGCACCTTGCCAGCATGCCTGCCTGTCCCCGAAGACCACAGGCTGGTCTGTGATTGTAACACAGTCGGTTTAGCTACCAGGCTGGTCTGTGATTGTAACACAGTTGGTTTAGCTACCAGGCTGGTCTGTGCTTGTAACACAGTTGGTTTAGCTACCAGGCTGGTCTGTGATTGTAACACAGTTGGTTTAGCTACCAGGCTGGTCTGTGATTGTAACACAGTTGGTTTAGCTACCAGGCTGGTCTGTGATTGTAACACAGTTGGTTTAGCTACCAGGCTGGTCTGTGATTGTAACACAGTTGGTTTAGCTACCAGGCTGGTCTGTGATTGTAACACAGTCGGTTTAGCTACCAGGCTGGTCTGTGATTGTAACACAGTTGGTTTAGCTACCAGGCTGGTCTGTGATTGTAACACAGTCGGTTTAGCTACCAGGCTGGTCTGTGCTTGTAACACAGTTGGTTTAGCTACCGGGCTGGTCTGTGCTTGTAACACAGTCGGTTTAGCTACCAGGCTGGTCTGTGATTGTAACACAGTTGGTTTAGCTACCAGGCTGGTCTGTGATTGTAACACAGTGGTTTAGCTACCAGGCTGGTCTGTGCTTGTACACAGTTGGTTTAGCTACCAGGGCTGGTCTGTGCTTGTAACACAGTGGTTTAGCTACCATCTGGCTGGTCTGTGCTTGTAACACAGTTGGTTTAGCTACCAGGCTGGTCTGTGATTGTAACACAGTCGGTTTAGCTACCAGGCTGGTCTGTGATTGTAACACAGTGGTTTAGCTACCAGGCTGGTCTGTGTTGTTACACAGTTGGTTTAGCTACCAGGCTGGTCTGTGCTTGTAACACAGTCGGTTTAGCTACCAGGCTGGTCTGTGATTGTAACACAGTTGGTTTAGCTACCAGGCTGGTCTGTGATTGTAACACAGTTGGTTTAGCTACCAGGCTGGTCTGTGATTGTAACACAGTTGGTTTAGCTACCAGGCTGGTCTGTGATTGTAACACAGTCGGTTTAGCTACCAGGCTGGTCTGTGATTGTAACACAGTCGGTTTAGCTACCAGGCTGGTCTGTGATTGTAACACAGTTGGTTTAGCTACCAGGCTGGTCTGTGATTGTAACACAGTCGGTTTAGCTACCAGGCTGGTCTGTGCTTGTAACACAGTTGGTTTAGCTACCAGGCTGGTCCTGTGATTGTAACACAGTTGGTTTAGCTACCAGGCTGGTCTGTGATTGGTAACACAGTTGGTTTTAGCTACCAGGCTGGTCTGTGATTGTAACACAGTTGGTTTTAGCTACCAGGCTGGTCTGTGATTGTAACACAGTTGGTTTAGCTACCAGGCTGGTCTGTGATTGTAACACAGTTGGTTTAGCTACCAGGCTGGTCTGTGATTGTAACACAGTCGGTTTAGCTACCAGGCTGGTCTGTGATTGTAACTGGTCTGTGATTGTAACACAGTCGGTTTAGCTACCAGGCTGGTCTGTGATTGTAACACAGTTGGTTTAGCTACCAGGCTGGTCTGTGATTGTAACACAGTGGTTTAGCTACCAGGCTGGTCTGTGATTGTAACACAGTTGGTTTAGCTACCAGGCTGGTCTGTGATTGTAACACAGTTGGTTTAGCTACCAGGCTGGTCTGTGATTGTAACACAGTCGTGTTTAGCTACCAGGCTGGTCTGTGATGAACGGTTGTATTGTACACAGTCGGTTTAGCTACCAGGCTGGTCTGTGATTGTAACACAGTTGGTTTAGCTACCAGGCTGGTCTGTGATTGTAACACAGTCGGTTTAGCTACCAGGCTGGTCTGTGATTGTAACACAGTTGGTTTAGCTACCAGGCTGGTCTGTGATTGTAACACAGTTGGTTTAGCTACCAGGCTGGTCTGTGCTTGTAACACAGTCGGTTTAGCTACAGGCTGGTCTGTGATTTAAACAGCAGATCGGTTATAGCTCCATGTGGTCTGTGATGTAACACATATCGGTTTACTTGACAGGGAGTGCTGATGCATTGTAACTAACCAAGTAAGCCACCTAAAGCCTACGAAGAAGAGATCATCCTCAAACGTGAGGGATTGCTGATGCTAATCTACTTTACTTAATGGGTTTTCTTTGACAGGGCCATTGCAAATTAATCAACATTTGTACATGTATATGCCAGATTTAGTCGCTACATTCCGTCACCTGACACTGCTCCTTTCTCCCATCCCCAGGAGCTCAGACTAATTCATTAGAGAGTCATAGTAATAGGCAGTAATTCATTAATTTCTCAGGCCACAACCAAATTAATCAGCTTCACCATCAGTTAATGTTAGGAGAGTGGGAGAGTGCTGGCAGACAGTGCTGCCCAGTGAGTGAATGAATAATGTGGCTGATTGTTGGTAGCTGTAGTCTGTCGACTACAATAGTTCCCCAGTTGGGCACAGACTGGTTGAATCAACGTTGCTTCCACATAATTTCAATTTCAATGTGATGACATTGAATAAATGTGGAAAACTGATTTGATTAAACAAAACGTCATCAACGTAAAGGAAGTTTGAATTTTTTTCATGCAACTCTTAACCCAAATCCAATGACATGGTGAACATTTTTGGGGATTTCACATTGAATTCATGTTATTTGACAACTCAATCAAATGCCTGTTCCCAGTGGGACCCTACCAAGTCTGGTGTGCTATAGAATACCTCCTTAACCAGTCGGTCCCTACCAAGTCTGTTGTACTGTAGAATACCTCCTTAACCAGTCGGTCCCAATCTTTCACCTTTATGTTGTTAAATGTCATAATGATGTATGATAACTGAACCTAATAATTCTCCCTCCCAGGCAGATCACCATAGAGGAAGGAGAACAGCGGGCCAAGGAGCTCAGTGTCATGTTTATTGAGACCAGCGCCAAGACAGGCTACAACGTCAAACAGGTGTGTGATGTAACGTCCCCTCTATATTCCTCAAACTCAACTCTGGATCTCGAAGCCAGTTCCACTGGGTTTTTTTTTCATTATTTCTCTCGAATCAGGGACTGATTCAGACCTGCGACACCAGGTGGTGCAATGAATGATCAGGTCGAACAGACAAGCAGCAGCAGTCCAGACTTCCAGGGGAAGATTTGAATACCCCTGACCTATTATGTGATTCCACTGGCTGAGGGGGGTTTGAACCCTCACTGGGTCAGGGGGTTTGAACCCTCACTGGGTCAGTGGGTTTGAACCCTCACTGAGTGTTGGCAACACTATAGTTCTAGGTTGGATTCATGCATGAACCAAATATACAGTATACTGATTATATAGTATCTGTCACTGTCAGTGTTGACAGGAAACAGTCCAGTTACGCATGAATTAGTAATTTCTCACATTTTGCTCTGACTCATTAGTCCCTTATTTATAATGAAAACACTGTGACTAGTGTAAAGTATTGGTAAGAGAATGGAGAATAGGGCTTGGTTGGACTCAGAAGGCTTTTATCACAGGAGGTGAGCTAAAGAGAGAACTGTTGGATGGCTGTCTGATGAGTGGGAGGGTCGCAGTTAGACTCACCAGCATCCCTTGGCTTGATACAGAGAGTACGCCTACAGATATAATATAATACTAGTTAATGATCTGTTCCCAGCTGTCTTCACAGAACAGTAGAGAGAACAGCAGAGAGACCAGTAGACAGAGTAAAGGACTGAGAGAACAGTAGAGAGAACAGTAGACAGAGTAAAGGACTGAGAGAACAGTAGAGAGAACAGTCGAGAGAGTAAAGGACTGAGAGAACAGTAGAGAGAACAGTAGAGAGAGTAAAGGACTGAGAGAACAGTCGAGAGAGTAAAGGACTGCGAGAACAGTGGAGAGAACAGTAGAGAGAACAGTAGAGAGAGTAAAGGACTGAGAGAAGAGTGGAGAGAACAGTATAGAGAGCAGTAGAGAGATTAAAGGACTGAATGAACAGTAGAGAGAGTAAACGACTGAGAGAACAGTAGAGAGAACAGTAGAGAGAGTAAAGGACTGAGAGAACAGTAGAGAGGACAGTAGAGAGAGTAAAGGACTGAGAGAACAGTCGAGAGAGTAAAGGACTGCGAGAACAGTAGAGACAACAGTAGACAGTAAAGCACTGAGAGAACAGTAGAGAGAGTAAAGGTTTGAGAGAACAGTGGAGAGAACAGTAGAGAGAACAGTAGATAGACCAGTAGAGAGAGTAAAGGACTGAGAGAACAGTAGAGAGAACAGTAGAGAGAGTAAAGCACTGAGAGAACAGTCGAGAGAGTAAAGGACTGTGAGAACAGTCGACAGAGTAAAGGACAGAGAACAGTAGAGAGAACAGTAGAGAGAGTAAAGCATTGAGAGAACAGTATAGAGAACATTAGAGAGAGTTAAGCACTGAGAGAACAGTAGAGAGAGTAAAGGACTGAGAGAACAGTAGAGAGAGTAAAGGACTGAGAGAACAGTAGAGAGAACAGTAGAGAGTAAAGGACAGAGAACAGTCGAGAGAAAAAGACTGAGAGAACAGTGAGAGAGTAAAGGATGAGAACAGTAGAGAGTAAAGGACGAGAGAACAGTAGAGAGAACGTAAAAGTAAAGCTTGAGAGAACAGTAAGAGAACAGTAGAGAGAGTAAAGCACTGAGAGAACAGTAGAGAGAGTAAAGGACTGAGAGAACAGTAGACAGAGTAAAGGACTGAGAGAACAGTAGAGAGAACAGTAAAGAGAGTAAGGACGAGAGAACAGTCGAGAGAGTAAAGGACGGAACATGGGAAGAAGAGTAAGGACTGAGAACAGTGAGAGAGTAACGATGAGAGAACAGTAGAGAGAACAGTAATGAGAGTAAAGCACTGAGAGACATACGAGTAAAGGGACGAGAAAAGTAGACAGAGAAGGACTGAGAGAACAGTGACAGAGTAAAGGACTGAGAGAACAGTAGAGAGAACAGTAAGAGAGTAAAGGACTGAGAGAACAGTAGAGAGAGTAAAGGACTGAGAGAACAGTGGAGAGAACAGTAGAGAGAGTACAGTAGAGAGAACAGTAGAGAGAGTAAAGGACTGAGAGAACAGTAGAGAGAACAGTAGAGAGAGTAAAGACTGAGAGAACAGTAGAGAGAGTAAAGGACTGGAGAGAACAGTAGACAGAGTAAAAGACTGAGAGAACAGTAGAGAGAACAGTAGAGAGAGTAAAGGACTGAGAGAACAGTAGAGAGAACAGTAGAGAGAGTAAGACTGAGAGAACAGTAGAGAGAGTAAAGGACTGAGAGAACAGTAGAGAGCGTAAAGGACTGAGAGAACAGTAGACAGAGTAAAAGACTGAGAGAACAGTAGAGAGGACAGCAGAGAGAGTAAATGACTGAGAGAACAGTAGAGAGACGTAAAGTAAGGACTGAGAGAACAGTGAGAGAACAGTAAGGATGAGGACAGTAGAACATGAAGTAAAGTAGACTGAAGAACAGTGAGAGAAAGGAGAGAAGTAAAGACTGTAGAGAACAGTAGAGCAGAACAGTAGAGAGATAGTATAGAGCAGTGAAGATACAAGGACTGAGAGAACAGTAGAAGAGTAAGGACTGAGAGAACAGTAGAGAGAACAGTAGAGAGAGTAAAGGACTGAGAGACAGTTAGAGAACAGTAAGGAGCAGAAGATGGAGAACAGTAGAGAGAAGGACAGAAACGTAGAAGAGTAAAGGACTGAGAGAACAGTGAGAGAACAGCAGAGAGAGTAAAGGACTGAGAGAACAGTAGAGAGAACAGAGAGAGTAAAGGATGAGAGAACAGAGAGTAACAGTAGAAGAGTAAGGACTGAGAGAACAGTAGGAGACAGTAAAGAGAACTGAGAGAACAGTAGAGAGAGTAAAGGACTGCGAGAACAGTGGAGAGAACAGTGGAGAGAACGTAGAGAGAACAGTAGAGAGTAAAGGACTGAGAGAACAGTAGAGAGAGTAAACGACTGAGAGAACAGTAGAGAGAACAGTAGAGAGAGTAAAGGACTGAGAGAACAGGATAAGAGAGGAACAGTGAGAGAGTAAAGACTGAGAAACAGTGAGAGAACAGTAGAGAGAACAGTAAGAGAGATAGTAAGAGAGTAAACTGAGAGAACAGTGAAGACTGAGAGAACAGTAGAGAGAACTGAGAGCAGTGAGAGTAAGGACTGAAGAACAGTGAGAAGCATAAAGGACTGAGAGAACATAGAGAGTAGACAGTAGAGAGAGTAAAGCATTGAGAGAACAGTAGAGAGAACAGTAGACAGGGTAAAGGACTGAGAGAACAGTAGAGAAGTAACAGACTTGAGAGAACAGTAGGAACAGTAGAGGTAATAGGACTGAGAGAACAGTAGAGAAACGTAGAGAGAGTAAAGAGACTGCGAGAACAACGTGAGAGAGTAGACTAGCATGAGAGAACAGTAGAGAGAACAGTAGCACTGTAAAGGACTGAGTAGAACAGTAGAGAGACGAGCACGTAATTAAACTGAGAGAACAGTCGAGAGAGTAAAGGACTGAGAGAACAGTCGACAGAGTAAAGGACTGAGAGAACAGCAGAGAGAGTAAAGGACTGGCCATCTCTCCTTGTTATACTGTAGTAGTATCCCATATAGGACTGGCCATCTCTCCTTGTTATACTGTAGTAGTATCCCATATAGGACTGGCTATCTCTCCTTGTTACAGTGTAGTAGTATCCCATATAGGACTGGCCATCTCTCCTTGTTATACTGTAGTAGTATACCATATAGGACTGGCCATCTATCCTTGTTATACTGTAGTAGTATCCCATATAGGACTGGCCATCTCTCCTTGTTATACTGTAGTAGTATACCATATAGGACTGGCCATCTATCCTTGTTATACTGTAGTAGTAATCCCATATAGGACTGGCCATCTCTCCTTGTTATACTGTAGTAGTATCCCTATAGGACTGGCCATCTCTCCTTGTTATAACTGTAGTAGTATCCCTATAGGACTGGCCATCTCTCCTTGTTTATACTGGTAGTAGTATCCCATATAGGACTGGCCATCTCTCCTTGTTATAACTAGTAAGTAGTACCATATAGGACTGGCGATCTCTCCTTGTTATATAGTAAGTAGTATCCATATAGGACTGGCCATGTCTCCTTGTTAATACTGTAGTAGTATCCCATAAGGACTGGCATCATCTCCTTGTTATAGTAGTATATCCCATATAGGACTGGCCATCTCTCCTTGTTATACTGTAGTAGTATCCCATATAGGACTGGCCATCTCTCCTTGTTATACTGTAGTAGTATCCCATATAGGACTGGCCATCTCTCCTTGTTATACTGTAGTAGTATCCCATATAGGACTGGCCATCTCTCCTTGTTATACTGTAGTAGTATCCCATATAGGACTGGCTATCTCTCCTTGTTATAGTGTAGTAGTATCCCATATAGGACTGGCCATCTCTCCTTGTTATACTGTAGTAGTATCCATATAGGACTGGCCATCTCTCCCTTGTTATAGTGTATAGTATCCCTATAGGACTGGCCATCTCTCCTTGTTATACTGTAGTAGTATCCCATATAGGACTGGCCATCTCTCCTTGTTATACTGTAGTAGTATCCCATATAGGACTGGCCATCTCTCCTTGTTATACTGTAGTAGTATCCCATATAGGACTGGCCATCTCTCCTTGTTATACAGTAGTAGTATACCATATAGGACTGGCCATCTCTCCTTGTTAGTGTAGTATCCCCCAAAAGAAGCTGAAATGTCTTGAGTCAATAAGTATTCAACCCCTTTGTTATGGCAAGCCTAAATAAGTTCAGGAGTAAAAAATGTGCTTGACAAGTCACAAAATAAGTTGCATGGACTCATTCTGTGTGCAATAATAGTGTTTTATATGATTTTTGAATTACTACCTCATCTCTGTTCCCCACACATACAATTATCTTAAAGGTCCCTCAGTCGAGTAGTGAATTTCAAGTGCAGATAAACCACAAAGACCAGGGTGGTTTTCCAATGCCAATGGTAAAAATGAACATGGTGAAGTTATTCATTACACTTAGGATGGTGTATCAGTACACCCTGTCACTACATAGATACAGCCGTCCTTCCTAACTCAGTTGCCGGAGAGGAAGGAAACTGCTCAGGGATTTCACCATGAGGCCAATGGTGACTTTAAAATAGTTACAGAGTTTAATGGCTGTGACAGGAGATAACTGAGGATGGATCAACAACGTTGTAGTTACTCCACAATGCTAACCTAAATGACAGAGTGAAAAGAAGGAAGCCTTTATAGAATACAAATATTCCAAAACATCCATCCTGTTTGCAATGAGGCATTAAAGGAAAACTGCAAAAAATGTGACAGACATGAACTTTTTGTCCTGAATACAAAGCGTTATGTTTGGGGCAAATCCAACACAACACATCACTGAGTACCACTCTTCATATTTTCAAGCATGGTGGTGGCTGCATCATGTTATGGGTATGCTTGTCATCAACAAGGACTAGGAAGTTTTTTAGGATAAAAATAAACTGAATAGAGATAAGCCATGGCAAAATCCTGGAGGAAAACCTGGTTCAGTCTGCTTTCCAACAGACACTGGGAGACAATTTCACCTTTCAACAGGACAATAACTTAAAACACAAGGCAAAACATACACTGGTTTTACTTACCAAGACGACATTGAATGTTCCCGAGTGGCCTAGTTACAGTTTTGACTTACACTGAACAAAAATATAAACGCTACATGTA